CAGGCCAAACAAGGGGGAAAACAGAAGGAGAGAGCCCTCTGCACACCCGCTTCACTTCCTGAAGGGAGAACACAAATCTAATCTCTTTTCCCTTTCTTACTTGATTTGGGGGTTCAAAAGCTATTTGATCTCTCTCATAAAAAACAGAAATCTTCATTCTTTGTTTCTCTGTAAGGAATAAATAATTTCAAAATGCATAATTAGCAAAATAGGAGGAGGTATTCTCTAGGAGAGAAGTGAGAGTGAAGGGAAGACAGATGGGGAATCGGAGGATCTTCCATTACCTCCTGAGGTGTCCTGACTTGGATCTTCCCAGGGGATCCTCCTGAAAAATAGCTCCTGAGGGGGATTTGATGGGTTCTTCCTTCCCTCAGGATCTCTGATCTCCACAGTGCAGCACTTCAAATAGGAGGAAGGAAAAAAGAAGCGGAATTAATATACGTCACAAGACACAAAGTGGATTCTTCTATTCGGAACACAACTTCAAAGCCCCCAATATCCATCCGTTTCTCACTCCGGCTGAATGAGAAAACAGTGGAACAATGTCCTACCAGAACTGGAGAACTGCCTCATATTATGAACGTGGGAGAAGTTTGGGAAGGAGGGGTGAAGCATTCAAGCACTCTCTTTATTCCCTTCTGAGCTCCCTAAGTCTCCCACCTGCCGCTGGAGCTGCTCCTTCTACTCCTCCGCCTGGCTCAGGAGGAAGCCTTCCGCCAGGGCCACCGCCTGGGAGCTGGTCTCTGCTCCACACTCCCGCACCCAGCCCTCCATCTCTGGGGGCAGGAGAGCCAGGAGCCGCTCCAGAACCACCAGGTCCAGCATCTGGGCTTTGCTGTGCTTTCCTGGGCTCAGCCATCGCCTGCACAAGTCGTGGAGTTGGCTGCAAAGTCCTCGGGGACCCTCAGCCTCCCGGCATTGGATGGAGGTCCAGGGTGGAAGTTTTGAAGGGAGGAGGGTTCCCTCCTGCAGGACCTTCTGCCCGGTTCTGGTCCAGCTCTCCCCACAGCTCCCAGGCTGAAGAGTTGTGAGGTCTTTTCTGTTCCCCTCCTTGGACAAAGGGGGGGGGTCTCCATCCTTCTTCTCTCCAGCAGAGCATCTCCAAAGGGCTGCAGGGACCCTGGGGGGCTCTCCAGGGGCCTCTTCCTTCATGGGACCATTTCTGGGGCAGCAGGACGGATCCCTGCCGGTCCTTCTGCTTCCTTCCTTCCCTCGCCGAGGGAATCCTGGCTTGCAAAGGCTTCCGAGGGCTCCGAGGTTCCGGATCTGGGAGGGAGAGAAAAACCAACACCCAGGATCAGAAAGGGGGATTCAGCCCCTGCACCCCCTTCCCTAACCGGCTTCTCACAGCGCAGGGCCCAGGGTCCCCCCCCACTTCTCATGGAGAGGGCGGCTGGGGAGCATGGGACTCGGGAAGAGCCCCCCCCCTCACCAGGGGCACATCTGGATGTCCCCCCCCGCCGGACTCTCCCGCGAGCTCCAGGGGTTGAGGAGAGCGAGTGCGGCGTCCTAGAGTGGCAAGCCTTTAAGTGATGTCGCTTCCTTCGCTGCCGCCTCTAGACTGGCAGCCCTGATGTTTGCCCTCCAGTGGCCCAATGGGGAAGCGCCTGGATTTCCCTTCCCTTGGCTAAGTGCGCCCCCTGGTGGACCTGGGGCATAGGGCCAGGAGGGTAGAAAGGGCGGGAAAGAGGAGCGCCTGGGAGTGGGAAGGGCAGGGATGATGGGCTTGGGAGTAGCAGGAAAGGCTTCCCTCTGGCTACCTCTCTGTCCACCCCCCCTTTGTCATCCAGTGAGGCAGTTCTTCCTACGGCAGAATCTACCCATGAAATATATATCTTACACTGCAAAAACATATGGACGACACAACTCGATCAGGGCAAAGCAATAGCCGCAATCTACATAGACTTCTGTAAAGCCTTTGATTCAGTGGGACACGACAAACTACTCCTAAAACTAAAATCTTATGGTATCTCTGGACACCTGCATAACTGGATAGAAGCATTCCTGTCAAACAGACAACGAATGGTCAAAATTGGGAGCGTCCTCTCAAATTCTGTACCTGTCAATAGTGGTGTCCCCCAAAGCAGTGTTCTAGGACCAACTCTCTTCATACTCTACATTAATTGTAAATGGGATGATAAATTATATTCCTAAAATCTGTCATTTAATGAAGACTTTTGTTTCACCTGAGTTTGGGGCTCAGCAAAGGTATAATCTTGTGTACATTGAAAAAAAATTCGGATCCTAATTTAAGGAAGATTAATTTTTTTAGGTAATAAATGAGAATATCAGACTTTATTTTGGCAAAGTC